CTTGATTTGGTGCCATGGCATTGAGTTTTTTCATTGTCGTTCTATATTTGTATTATTTATTTATGTGAATTACATTTTCTGTTTTATTAGACATTTGTGAGTATACGTTTTTTCTATTAATTAATCTTTGATGTAAGAAGTGATGTTGTTTGCGGTGGTGCTGCAGGTTCGACTTGTGATCGGTAGATCCGCGTGCCACATGGCCACGGTCTTCTGTCGTGGCCTCCCACTACGCACACATCCCACATCGGTCGGGAGGCGTGGTGACAGACGGAGCCAGGAACGAAGCAAACCCCGGGCCAATTTTTTTCCAGGAGTGTGGATTTTTTTAGCACTTATAACCACCCAAAAATATCTCATACCATTCAATGCAGACTACGCAATTCGTACAGAGAACAAGTGGAAAGAATCAAAGAAATTTACCAGGTTTAGGCAAGGGAAGAAAGGGGATGGCGCGTGGCGGCGAACGGCGCACACATGGATGGAGCTTGGCCGTCGGGGTGGGAACAGTGGAGCTAATGGAGAACTCGCCGTCAAGCACGTGATGCCTGGGGAAGTTGGGGGTCCGGAAGGCAGCGGTTGGAGGGTCGGCGCCACGGCGGCGATAACCTAGATGGCGGCCGAACAGGGAGGCGGCGGCACGAGGTTGGAGTCGCGTGTGTCTTGTGCATGCGACGGTGTGAATTAGGTCATGTGTAGTCCCTTGGTCGTGCTCGCGCTTGTGAACCAACCAAACAAGGCTTTGGGCCTCCTTTGAATGGGCTGAACCCCGGGCCCATAAAAATCTATATATATACTAGCTAGCAAAAATTCCCACACCCATGGGCCTGGGCTCTGGGTGTCCGAGGCTCAACTCTGCCCCTGATGACAATCCAGGCCCCCAAGTGCCTATTGTGTTGTACACTTTCACATTCAATGTGGCGGATGATGGGATATGACATAGTTGGGCTCGCATCGCTTCGCGCTCTCACTTGACTAGAAATGACCTGAATTGATTGGTCCATCGCTCTCTCAGCAATCAAGTCGGACGAGGCCTAGCCTATGTCAGGAATGACATCAGGCATGACTTCATCAAGATTCACGGTGCTCTCGCGAGCCGGTCTCAACCAAGTTTGACCGAATCGAGCACAAGCGGCACGGGCATCAAGGTCGTCAGGAATCGACACTGAACGACTCGGCCCTTGGCACAATCAAGATAAGGTGAATGAGTTGGATGTGAGGCACCTCACGTGTCTGGGTCCGTCTTACCATTGGGTATTCGAACCCGACTATTAGGGTGCTTTATGGTTTTTTAGGAGATGGGTGCCGAGAGAGAAGGGGTGGGGGAGAGAAAGTGGATAGATGGGAGGGAAGCGGGTGGTGATGGAGGACTAGAAAAGGGCGGCTACGAGAGATGGGCGATGAGTTGCGGTCGGCTTGTGTGGACACGGATGTTTACTTCCTGGGGAGACACGTCCCATGTGCCCTTGCCACCACGTCAGCCCCTGCTCATAACCATGACGGATTTTGCCGTGGTACCAGACACACTATGTGCCATGCATGTATGTGTGTGTTTTACATTTCCTCTGCAATGTGTGTTTAGTACCATAGCTTTGAGTTTTTCCACTATTGTTCTATTATTATTTATGTGAATTTTTTTCTGTATTTTTGCGGTGGAGACATTTGCGAGTGTAGGTTGTATCTATTAGCCAATCTCGGATATAAGTAGTGATGTTGTTTGCGGTGGTGATGCGGGTTGGACCTGTAATGGACCCGCGCGCCACATGGCCATGGTCTTCTGTCGTGATCTCCCACTATGTGCACGATCCACGTGGGGAGCGAGGCGTCAAGATGACGGTCCAGGCCCTCAAGCGCATATTGTGTCGTCCACTCACATTTAGTGTTGCAGCCGATGGGATATGACATGATCGGGCTTGCGTCACTTCGTGCTCTCGCTTGACCCGACATGAGCTAGATAGATGGATTCGTCGCTCTCTCTCAGCAACCGAACCAGGCGAGGCCTAGCCTATGTCAGGAATGGCATCGGGGATAACTTCATCAACATTCCGGCGCTTCATCCTCTTGTTAGAATGTATCAACCAAGTTTGACCGACTCGAGCCCAAGTGGCGCGGTCCTCAAGGTCGTCAAGAGTCGACGATCGATGAATCAGCCCCTGGCACAACCAAGATAAGGTGAAGGAGCCGGATGTCGGGCACCCCTCACCTGTCTGGACCCAGCTTACCATTGGGTATTCACACCCGACTGTTAGGGTGCTTTAGGGTTTTGGGGGGATGAGTGGACACACACACACACACACACACAGAGAGAGAGAGAGAGAGAGAGGGGGAGAGAGGAGATGGTGGGAGTAATAAAAAGATGACGGATTTGAGGGAAGGAGTTGGTGATGGAGAAGAGAAAAGGGTAGCTCAGAGGGAGTGGCGATCAACTATGGATTGTGTGTGTGTGGACACGAATGTTTCCTTCCCAGATCGACGCTCCCTATGTGCCATTGCCAGCCACCACGTCCGCACCTGCCCATACCCATGCCAGTTTTTTCCGTGGTATAGAACACCCTAGTGTGCCGTGTGTGTATTTGTGTACTTTACATACATTTCCTCTACAATATGTGTTTGGTGCCATAGCTTTGAGTTTTTTCAGTGTTATTCTATTATTATTTATGTGAATTACGTTTTCTATATTTTCTGGTGCAGACATTTGCGAGTATGGGTTGTATCCTTTAATTAATCTTTTATATAAGCAGTGGTATTGTTTGTGGTAGTGACGCCGGGTTGGACTTGTAATGGACCCACGCGCCACGTGGCCACGGTCTTCTATCGTGGCCTCCCACTACACGGATGCGCCGCATGGGGCGCAGGGCGTGAGGATGACGTTCCAAACCCTCAATCATCTATTATGTTGTCCGCTCGCACTTAATGCCGCATACAATGGCACATGACATAGTTTCGCATGTTGGGGAACGCAGTAATTTCAAAAAAAAAATCTTACAATCATGCAAGATCTATCTAGGTGATGCATAGCAACGAGGGGGAGAGTGTGTCGACGTACCCTCGTAGACCGAAAGCGGAGCGTTAAGTAACACGGTTGATGTAGTCGAACGTCTTCGCGATCCAACCGATCAAGTACCAAACACACGGCACCTCCGCGATCTACACACGTTCAGCTCGGTGACGTCCCTCAAACTCTAGATCCAGCTGAGGCCGAGGGAGAGTTCCGTCAGCATGACGGCATGGTTACGGTGATGATAAAGTTACCGGCGCGGGGCTTCGCCT